ACTTATTTGATATTTAACAGAGTGATACAGTCTTTTTCCTAGATGTCTAAATGGAAGTATTCAGTGTACAGTATTTTTTAACCGATGATGTTTCGAGTGATCCTAATCATATCAATCAATTCATACTACTTTCAACATCTGATTTCCACTGTCCTATCACCTGATATTATTTGCTTTTATTGGTAGTAAGATTTTCCATATCTCCGGCATAAGCCTTGCATCATTCCTATCACATATTTACGGTGTAGATTCAATGAACAAAGAATCAGTAACCAATCTCTCTCTCTCTCTCTCCCTACCTGATTATATTGGACTTAGATACAGTGGTTTTATCCCACCCTGTTGTGTAGTTGTGTGTTAATGCATGGATTACAATAGCAGAGTGTTTTCTAGATTATTGATCTTATTCGGGTCTATCATTCTATATTTAGCTGAATTCCTATGTTCCTCTAATGTAATCGATACTCATTAGCTAGTTTGATCTATATAGTTGACCTGACAGTCATTACATGGAATTTAGCAGATTAGATTATTTCATGTTGGATCTGTCAAACTCTTAAGCCGACAAGGCTTATCTCTGAGCGCCTTTTTTAGGTTTAAACGCCATCCTAACTCTTTCAGCCTTGTTCAGAATCCTACTTAGGGTTTCCGATGTGCCTTGTTTGTATGGTAAAACAATAGAGGTTTTGAACTTATTTTTACTTGTGTTGCTGCTATTGTTCATATTCGTATTACTGTTATCAATTTGTTTCTGATGTGGCCATATGAATTTCTGAATAAACAGTAGAGGATGATTATTAATTACTAACGCTTCCCTAATGTGTTTCAATTCCTTGTTGAAAGCTGGCACGTTGACTAGTAAGTTTTTTACCTTTGTCATTTAGACAGTTGACTAAACTCACCTTAACTGACACTGGGTGAGATGACATGAAGTTTAGATACCTGATAGAATGTGTCGGTTTCCTGAAGATTGTAGTAAACAAATCACCGTCCGTCCTTCATTTCATTCTACAGTCCAACGTAGGTAATTCTCCTTGTTTACTTTTCACTTCATGGACGAACTGGATTGCATCTACTACTGAGTTCATGTGTGTGAGAAAAATGTCGATATGTTCCGGTTTCAACACAATAAATGTGTCATCAATATAGCGCCACCATATCTTATGTGTAGGATTAAACCTTAGTAAAGCTATGTTTTCTCAACTATTCATAAATATATCTGTTACAATTGAGGATATTAGTAATCCCAGTGCTACTAATCTAATCTACTAAATTCCATGTAATGACTGTCAGGTCAACTATATAGATCAAACTAGCTAATGAGTATCGATTACATTAGAGGAACATAGGAATTCAGCTAAATATAGAATGATAGACCCGAATAAGATCAATAATCTAGAAAACACTCTGCTATTGTAATCCATGCATTAACACACAACTACACAACAGGATGGAATAAAACCACTGTATCTAAGTCCAATATAATCAGGTAGGGAGAGAGAGAGAGAGAGAGATTGGTTACTGATTCTTTGTTCATTGAATCTACACCCTAAATATGTGATAGGAATGATGCAAGGCTTATGCCGGAGATATGGAAAATCTTACTACCAATAAAAGCAAATAATACCAGGTGATAGGACAGTGGAAATCAGATGTTGAAAGTAGTATGAATTGATTGATATGATTAGGATCAATAATTTGTGCTCGAATCATTATGAAGTATATGATAATTTCACTACACACTATAAATCAAATCTGTTTCCGTAACATATAACTGAGGTGCCAATTAGGAGGAAATGAACTCAACTATCTTTCAAACTAAATTTTTTATGTTAATGATGGATCTTGGCTAGCAGTGGAATCCAGGACGCGCATTTCGTCCTATTTGGAACTCATCAGCTGGATGTACCTGCTTCTCAGTGAGTTATGTTGTTCCCACTGGGATTCGGACTCGGGAACGATGGCCCATATGCCAATAGAGACCGATCAATTTGGTCCAAGCAACGATGGTATCAAATAAAAACGTTTATACTAAATTTTTATCTCCCATTGCTCTCTCTTTACAAAAAACAATCCATAAGACTTAAAAACCCCTCATTTATTTTAATGTCAACGATAAATTTAATTCAAATAAAAAGAAAATTTATATGAGTTTAGAATTCGGCTTTATTACACCCAGATCAAATACACATTTCTCTCTGATGATATAATTAACTTAGTCACTCTAATTTCTCGTAGAACTCGTTTACATACCTAAGCATTACATCACTCAAAGTCAAGAAATAAAATAAATTAGAAGTGAAATAGCCAAATTAAACAGAAAGAAGTTAAAATTATCCAAATAAAAAGTTATTAACTTTTATAGAATAATCTAAAGTGAATTAGTGAGATTTATTACTGAACATTGAGGATCTGTAAACGTCGCTTGAGATAATAAAATGATGAAAGGATTGGATCACCATTCCGCTGTTTTTAGATCAAGCTCATTAATGATAAACCAAGACACACCTAGGTGAACGGAACTCTCACTGACATTTCTATTACTCTTATCTGTCTACTAAAATCTACAGATTAACATGATTTGCTTCTAACTACTCGTACTTGTACTAACTAGTATTTTTGGGGGCTCACTAGGCGGGTGTAACTGTATTCTAGGAAGTATTAGTTCTCCTGCCTCGATTCAGACCCAATTATTCATAGCTTTCAAAGTCAAAAGGTTATCTATTTGGCTACTTGTTTGAGAGGACTTCATCTAACTAGGTACACATCATTTGTTGTTTAGATCTCTACTGTTCATGAAGTCATCAAGGTATTCGTACTAGAATGTCAGCATACACCGATAATTGATTAGTCACTGAGGCGTAACCAACTTCACGTTGTCTAATCCTACATTCTGATAGAATTCTGTCCATTATTTTGCAGTGTGGCTACTAAAATAGGAAACTCATCACAGAGATCCACTGGTATGGGTATTCTTTCCATGGAGGCGGAGTAAAACATGTACCTAGGTTTCATGCTTTCTCGTACTCGTCACCAAGGTGTATTTGCAACCTCGATGGAACCTGGGTCCTACCTTGGTGGTCGTATTGCAAAATGATTGGTAGAAATCGATCAGCCCATAGAACTAGACAATATGAAGTTGGTTACCCTTCAGTGATCAATCAGTGTACAAACTCAAGCTACAAAAGGTCAGTCGTGAACCGAATGCCACTGTGGTAACGTCTGCAACTACAGCATTGAATCACACGGGCTGGAATATCAGTCGGGACATCAGTTTCGTCGGGGTCCCAGATATACCTTGCTGACGAGTGCCAGGAAGCATGGAACCTAGGTCCAGGATATCCACTCAGTTGGCTTCATCTAACTAACACATCAAATAATCTTGAAATAGTGGAGAATATTTGTAGCTCAGGTGGATGGTCTTGATCATATTGTGTTCTATGAGCTGGGTTGTTTAATCCTGAAGCTTTCATCATCTTGCTAGACGACATAAATTCAATTTCGACAATGTAGACATTTTCGACGGAGAGAGGAAACACAAAAAATATCAGGGAATTCCTAGAAGCTTCACATTCAGGTCAGTCAGTCAACAATCAACAGATGTATAGACATAGACCCAATCTATCAACCAATGAGAGAGATGACAGACGACAGAAAGGTCAGAGGACAAGAAGAGGAACAGTCGAGAAGAAAATCTAGGCAGTCAATGACACATCAGTGACACATCAATCAAAGGAAATTACCAGTCACAAATCACTTCGTCAGAGCAAGCTACTAAATCACTCATGGAGAGATACTGACAGCTCACTTCATAGTGAAGTTAGTTCTGATGATGTTGGTGTCTAGCAAGACGATGAAAGCTTCATGATTAAACAACCCAGCTGAGAGAACACAATACAACCAAGACATCAAATAAACCCATGCAACAACAAATGACTTTCAATCGCTTATTTTTATACAAACTTGTAGATAACAAGCTGTCTTATTTCATGCGGCGATATTAAGTCATTGCCAACTTGTTCAGTCCTTTTCCCTAGCACTCAGTTTTGCTTTTCCATTCTATGATCACTTGAACGTAATACATCGGGTAAGTTAGTATAGTAAGTGACTGTCAGTCTCATACAGTATATCTTATGGGCAAACGATAGCTACTCAATAAGTTATTAGACTATTCGAAAGTGTGTTTTTACAGTCACGTTACTTATACACTGAGTTCATCATAAAGATGTTCTTACCATTCTACACAATTTAAAAAAACTTGGAACAATGGATAGCTATTTCTTCCTATTATAGGATTCTTCACCGGTGCTCTCCCATGACGTTGCTGGTAACCAAAATCAAAACCACGTTGCCACTGAGTCACTGTGTCAGAATCTGATGGTCCACATTTTAACACTTTTGTCAGTTCACAATATAGTGCGGCCTTTATTCAATTCAGTTGAATAACAGATTGAGATCGATAAAAACCCCACAAACCTTCAAAGTGAAATTAAAAAATCTTATAAACCACATAACAAGTGATAAACATGGAATGATGACCTAAGATGAAGTGAAAACTTAGGTTACAACAGGAGTGAAACCAACGATCTTCAGAAAACTGGTTTGACATTCAACAGTATGAACAGTACATAACCCAACTGCTGACCACCCTTAGCTTTAGTCATTAAATGTCCTGTCAGGTTGTCATGTGAATGTATGAAGCATAAATGTCTTTTTAATATAGATACACAAATTATTCAGCCAAAACTCATTTTATAATCAAACTAGGGTTGACTTAGAAAGGTTGAATATCGTAATCGACTGTTTATGATAGTTTCTTCGATACCTGTGCTTTTCATTTCAACTCAAATTGTCACACTATATGAATAATATCAGACATTATGTCTATAAATTTTGTGAATAAATTTCAGTTTTCACATTTTTCGCTATGATAACTTTATTTTCGGTTAAAATATTAAAAGTAAATTTGTAAAATAATTTTTTTGACCTTCCTTCTATAGATTCGTTACAATTTTGGAATATTAAAAAGTAAGTAGTTGTGTCTTTGATGAAAGAATATTTACCACTTTTGTTTATCCCCATGCATGCAACTAGTTAGTATTATAGGTGCCATCAGATCTCCACTATACAGTAATTGGTATACTTTCAACAGGTGAAACTGGTTTACTTCCAACGTTTTGTTTGGGAGAGAGAGAGATATGGATGTACCTACACCCCAGTGGCGTTGTTTCCACTGACATTCGAACCTCGTACGCATCGCTTCAAACATCATAACGTTATCTACTAAGCCACCAGGGCGTCATTTTCTGTCATGACACTTGTAATTTCCTATTGCTATACGGGGCCGAATGGCTCAACATCTGCTAGTCCCGAAGATCAATATAACACCATGAAGCGTCTGCATAGGAGCCCATCTGCCGACACAGGTCGTGCAGTCCGACCCTGCATAGCAACGGGAAATTACAATTATCGTTACTACATTATTCAACCACATTTTATTTCCTGACAATTAATTTAAATATGCACCAATTACGTTTGTTTAAATAGATATAAATATATAGAAATCATTCAAAAACAACCATTTATTACTTTTAATTCCTGAAAATTATCATATTATTATTATTCTTTGTCCCTTGGGTTCCTAATAGAACATACCGCTTCACTAGCGCGTCTCCATTACAATCTCTCCTCAGCAGCCTTCAAAAATTGACTCCGAGACTGCCCACAACCCCTCACTTCTTCTATACACCATTTCATCCATGTCACCATCACCTCAAACGCCACACTCGTCATTTCCCATACAGGTTCCACTCGACGACCTGACCTGGCGCGTGATGTCCACAATCGGCCTTCTCACTGCATGCCCAATCCAATCCATCTACACCTACTTCCAATGCATATTTGTTCAGCGATAGCTTCTTGGTTGCTTCGTCACCAGCCAGCCAGCCAGCCAGCCAGCCAGCCAACCAGCCAGACAGACACACTTCCTCCTTGCTCATTCTTATTATTCTCACCATCTCAGCTTCAGTGTCACTATCGAGTCAGCGTAGGTGGCAGTTGTTGATGAATGTCTGTAGTTTATTGCAAATCCCTTTCGTAACACGCCAAGTCTCTCAACCATCACACAGAAGCACTGACTTGACTTGACTTGACGTTGGTGTTGAGAATCTGGATGTTGTTCACGCTTTGTGCTGGCTGAGTGCAGTGCAGTGCAGTAGATCTCCACACTGATTTCAGGTTGATGAAGGCCTGTGTTACTGTCTTTCTGGTCCTGACTGGCTTTGACGTCCTAATCTGTGCCGCCATCGACTGCAGCTGAAACGATTATGCCTAGGTAGGTAGGTGAAAGAGACAACTTCCTTTAGGTTTCTCCCGTTGATGGTGGTTGGTGCTTGTCGTTGTTACTGTTGTTGTTTGGATATCTTCATCACCTCTGTCTTCTCTACGTTCAGCTGAAAGAAGTCTCGTCTTCCTTCGCTGCCTCACCTCGCCTTTTCCACCAACTTGTTGGTTTTCACCTATAGATCTTCGAGTTTGTGCGACATTAGACATGAATCATCATTGATGAAATCCAAATCTTCTTCTGGGGTCTTTTCGTCGGTCAAACAGCGTATACCCCTCTTCTCGCTCCTCACTGTTTGTTGCATGATCCGGTCCAGTCTAGTTGTTCACAATCAGGAAGATCATCAGTGATAGTAGGCAACCTTGTCTTACTCCTTCCTGTCTTCACTTCAAAGACATCATGACTGAACTTTCCATTGTGAACCACTTGGCATGTAGCATCACGCAACACATAGTTGTTGAATGACGCTGATAAAGGTTTTTGGTGCAAAAACCGTAGTGTTGAAGCAGCTGCCTTTCAAATTACTTCTCGGTCGATGCTGTAGAAGGCCTTTTCAAATCGATGACGTTGAGGTACAGGTACAGTGGACTGCCATTCTTTGATCTATGTTCTATTATGATGTGTAGTGTAGCGTTGTGATTTGATCAGCACATGATTTGTTCTTCCTGAAGCCAGCCAGCCTGTTCCGGTCATAATTTTGAATTCAGAGCATTTTTTACTCTCTCCAGGATGATGCGGCATAATATTTTGCTTGGGGTAGACAGGAGTGGACCATGATTCCTCGCCAGTTCATGCAAAGACTTAAATATCCCTTCTTTGGAAGTTTGACAAGGTAAGCCTTCTTCCAATCAGATGGTACCTTTCCTTCCTTCCTTTCAAAACTTCCGCAGTAGTGGTGTGAGCATGCACGCCGTTGTTTCTGCGTCTTTTATCAGTACCTTAAAAGGAGTTCCATCTAGCCCTATTGCTTTCCCGGATTTCAACAACTTTATGGCTTTCAGGACTTTAGCTTCTGTTGGAGGGCCTGTGTTCGCTGGTAGTTCTGGCGTTGCTGGTGGTATTTGTGGACGAGTTGCTGGTGGCGATGGTGGTGGCCGATTGAAGAGCCTTTTGAAGTGGTCAGCCCACTGTTTCCTTTGTTTCTGCTCTTGGCTAGCTAGCTTTCCTTCACTATCTTTCATTGGTTTCGTCTGAGTTGATCTCTTTACGGATAGTAACCTAGTTATTTGATATAATGTCATCAGGTCTCTCTTGCAATCTTCAGCCTGTTCTGCTTCACTTGCCAACGTAGAAGTGTCTTTTGTCTTTGCGCGCACACTTCGTTACTTCTTTGTCCAGTGTTTTATACGTTGTACTCAGTTACTCTTTTCGTTGTTCATCCCTGCAATTCACTGGTTCATTTTCTGATTCACCATCACCATCTTCCTCTCCTTACTCTATCAGCTTCCATGTGTCCTTCGAGTTCCACTCATTGTCTTGTTTCCTCTTCCTTCCTAACACGGTTATGCAGGTTTCTTTCCATATAGCTTTCAAAGAGTTCTAGTGTTCTTCCACGCAGGTTTCCTCAGGGATGTCGCTTGATGTCTCCCACTTTGTCTTGATGGCTGGCTGACGTGAAGATGTGCTTTATAGTTCCGTCCTTCAGTTCACTTTCTGTTCTGGGTGTTGAACTTGAATTGTGGTCTATCACCAAATTCTTTGAAGGCTTTCAACTTTATTTTGAAGGTAGGCTCCTTATACTAGACGGTGAGCGGTGTGAACCTACATCTGCTCCCCTTCTTGATCTGATCTTGTGTCCAGTAGGCTGCGTCTCCACTTTCTTCAGGTTGAGATGTAGTCGATCTGGTTTTTAGTGTGTCCGTCTGGAGAAATCAAATCCATATCGCTTTGTGAATGTCCTTGTGTTTGTACACACTGCATCCAATCACCAAATCATTAAATGCGCAGAAGTCTGCAAACACTTCTCCATTCTTATTCCTCATTTCACCGAGTGTTATCGACCCATGATGAGTTCTCTTCCTGTGTTGTCCGATCTGAGTTTGTCATTCATGTCACCCATTAGGATTTTGATGTCACCAACTGGCCTGGGGTCTTATCCATTACTGATTGCAGTTACCTGTGGAATTCCTCCTTCTTCTCTTGATCAGCATTATTTGTAGGTGCACAGAGTAACATTGTATGATTGTGACTTTCCTTCCTTTTGAGTTGAATCTTGTTGTCGTGATCCTGGAGGAGGAGATTGATTTCCACTGCATAAGAGAGAGAGAGCCTTCGATGCTCTTGGGGACATCACGATAGCCACTACAAAATTCAGTGTGCTCGTGGTTGTCATCTTGGTGACCGGAGTAGATTATTGACTTTCCAGTTGACAGTTTGGAGAGTCCACTTCCATTTCATCTGCAGATTCCTAGCACTTGTATCCTATACCTTCTCATTACTCTGGCAATCTTGGCAGCCTTGCTAGGTTCATACATGGTGCTGACATTCCATGTCCCCATCCTTACTTTCGCTTTCATCGAGAAAGAGAAGACACATCGGCAATTGGTTTCCCAAGGGGTTTCACCAACCGGCGTAATTTCGTCTCTCCGATTCCAGTGAGGAATAAGTTTGTTTTTATTTTTTATATTTTCTTTTTTTAGCGATTGGACTAATTTTAAGGGTAGGGTTGCTAGCCCTATGCCCAGCCTTTCCTGTTTATAGGGGCTTAGATGGGCTAGTAACTAGTGTACCAGTTAACTATTCGAGGTTACTTGAGTATTATAGCCTATCTGAAATACCGGTATTCAGGATAACATTGAACAAAAGACATTTTTGAAGCATATTCTCTAACTAGTTTCGATTTTAGTGTTTTCTGAGCAGTAACAGACAAATTAATTTTATTCTGGAATAATTTAGATGCCGTATCGGAAGCAGATGGATGCCTTTCTCTATACACCATTCTTCAACATACAATGGATTAAAGTTCGTAGTGTGATAATGATGCAGGACCCTAGGTCTACTGAAATTCGAGAAAAACTACAAGTACCATTTAAGAAACTGAAACTGATAGGTGAATAAGGATGACACCATGAAAAACAAATACTTGTAACAAGTGTTTCCTCTTTTGTAGCAAATAAAAATAACAACAACACAACAAAAGCCATAAAGTATCATACTACTAGACAGTCGTTGAGCACTTTTCAGCTTTTGACGTCAAGTAGTAATATATATATTAAGCATCAAACATGTATGAAGTTGGTTACCATGCAAAATTTGAATTTCGCACTTAGTCTGTTTAACTTTATCAAATTATGATATTTAATGGTGATTAAATTTCTCTTTTAAAATGCAAATTCACAGAAGCCTTAAATCAAGTACTTCTCATATATCAAGCAAGAAGCTAGACGTTCCAAATCCAATCGGATCTGAATTAGGCTTTGAACTTCACAGTGATCTTGAATCTGTGCGAAGATATCAACCTGGTAAGTGTATTCATCGAGTACTTAATCATTTTAACTTGTCAATATGTAAAGTGTTAAAGTAAAACAAAATATGATTGTTTCTATTATCTGTACTGAATAAATGAAATCCAACTCAAATGTCATTTTATGAATGAAAAAAGACGACATACTTTTAAGGTTTGGTATTCTCAAATCCCACTTTTTATCGATTATTTTTATTATTTGTTCCTTGGGTTCCTAATGGAACATACCGCTTCAGTAGAAAGTCTCCGTTACACTCTCTTCTCTGCAATATTCAAAACCTGACTCCACTACTCCACCACTCCCAACAACCCCTCATTTCTTCCTCACATCATCTCATCCATGTCACCATCACCTCAAACGCCACACTCGTCATTTCCCATACAGGTTCCACTCGACGACCTGACCTGGCGCGTGATGTCCACAATCGGCCTTCTCACTGCATGCCCAATCCAATCCATCTACACCTACTTCCAATGCATATTTGTTCAGCGATAGCTTCTTGGTTGCTTCGTCACCAGCCAGCCAGCCAGCCAGCCAGCCAGCCAGCCAGCCAGCCAGCCAGCCAGCCAGCCAGCCAGCCAGCCAGCCAACCAGCCAGACAGACACACTTCCTCCTTGCTCATTCTTATTATTCTCACCATCTCAGCTTCAGTGTCACTATCGAGTCAGCGTAGGTGGCAGTTGTTGATGAATGTCTGTAGTTTATTGCAAATCCCTTTCGTAACACGCCAAGTCTCTCAACCATCACACAGAAGCACTGACTTGACTTGACTTGACGTTGGTGTTGAGAATCTGGATGTTGTTGACGCTTTGTGCTGGTTGAGTGCAGTGCAGTAGATCTCCACACTGATTTCAGGTTGATGAAGGCCTGTGTTACTGTCTTTTCGATCCTGACTGGCTTTGACATCGTCGTCTGTGCCACCACGACCTGTAGTTGAAACAGTGCTGCCTGCCTAGATAGGTGTAGGAATCTACTTCGTTTAAGTTTCTCCGTTGATGGTGACTGGTGCTTGTTGTTGGTGGTGATGACATTGGTTGAGTATTTTCATCACCTCTGTCTTCTCTACGTTCAATTGAAGACCCGTCTTCGCTGCCTCTTCTGATGTTTTCCTCTAGTGATCGTTAAGTACTTCGTAAGGGAAGATTATCCTTTATGATCCTTACGAATGATTGAATAGCATGTATGTGAGGGTAAGTAACACCTACAAAGTAACTTCAGTGCATTAGTTGAATAATCTAACCCCTGGCTAAGAACATAACGATGAGACTCTTAAATCATACCCCTTCATCAGGAACCATGTACCTGTAGTTTTCACAGAAATAGTGCCCGATCAAACACAATTATTTCATTAAGGCAATCACCAGCGCTTTAACCTACTTCCTCAAAAATTACTAACAAATTGTGTGGACATCACATTAATGGCCTGATCTTTTCTCCCACTGAGAGAGTTTATCGCACATAAGTCATATCATTCTGTGAAGATAATTCCTTCTGTATGCCTGAGATTAGTGGTGTGAACAATATTTCCTACTTACTTGTCAGTAATACTGTTTAGATATATCTTCATGCTCTGGATGGTATGGATGACATCATTTTTACTTTCTCAGAAGTTTCTACTTCCACAACAAAAGGTTGAGCTTTACTGCCAACAGTTCAATAGTGAAGAATGTTTAGTCAACCTTCCTCGAACTATCGTTAATTTTTAAAGAGTTCTTAGCACAGGCAGTTGTGCTTCATAAATGTCTCATCTATGGCGGAGTCAGTATCAATGAACCAGTCTGAAATCACATTGCCCTGTTATAATAGCTTCAACACAAACATGATTTAAATCAGAGAATGGATAAACAAAGAAAAACTTCGTATCATAAGTTCGACGTTTGATAGACAACATCATATGCTCACTTTTATTACGTGAATGAAGGATTTCTGAGTCAAATAAATAAGAAAATTTTAAAATTATTCGCTGTTCAAGCCAATTCAATATATACCTTGAAAGTTATGTACGATTGAAGTTTAAGTTGAAAATGGTTGGAGAAAAGATAAATATTGAATGTGCTTTGTTTTCACTCTAACCCCCAGAATAACCAGATGTCAAAATGGCATGAAAACACACTAAACTAATAGTGTACTGAAAGTTATCTGATTTTTTTTATTTTATCGTCCTATTAGTAGTTGGAAGGCCCTTGAAAGAATAGTTTCAACAAAGCACAATTATGAAATATTTGTTTAATATGCGTTACAACTGCTTGATTAGTGTGAATATTTATGTCAGTAACCTACTTTGTTCAAAGATCATTAGAAAAAGACCACTTCCACGTGTTTCATACCCCAGAGATAAAACGTTAATGTCTAAGTTCTGCCTATTTACAACCTGAATTATAGTAAACTAAAGATCATCTGTAAATATGGTAGGTACTGAACCTATGTTTCGTCCTAGTAATGGAGTCCTCAGTAGTACGCACCCGCAACTCCGCCAAGGACCGAGCCCAGGACCTTTAAGTTACGTGGCCATCACGTTACCAGTGAGCCACTTGGTCGGACTCTGACGGTCCATATTTCTTCCTTCTGTCAGTTCATGAAATAGCGCTACTACCATCCAGCGCAGCCGTTAAGTAACTGTTTCCATGTTCAACATGGTTGTCCCCACTGGTTACAACTTCTAGTTGGAACTTTGGGGTAGGCAGTAAAAAGAGACTAGTTATATTGTCTGAACATACTTCTGCATTGGGTAAACTTCTGTGCTAATTGTTACAAATATAAAATACAAACTTTTCCATCAATCGTGATCGAGTAGAAAAGTAGTCCTACCTCATTTTTCGCAAATATCGATTAGGTTAAGTACTCACCACACTTGAAAGTTACCTACTATCAACAAACAAGGCAGATACAGACGTGGAACAAGTATATTTTATTTAGCACTAAGGCCAGGTGTTAACGAGAGTTAGTTTTGTTAAGGTTTTAATCAAAAGGATTTTGATACACAGCTAATGATGCCCGTAAATAAACATTATAACATTATACTCTAATTATAAAATTCTTAAAAATTCTCTTCAAATTTAGAGACCACATATAAACAACAAGCTACAAGTGGTTCGTTTATTTCTCATGGATATGAAAGTTCTCTAAACGGAATTCATCATCATTTTGGTTCTTTACAAACTTCTTCAGGAATGATCAATGGATTAGATGGTAATAGTGTTGACAATGAATGCGCTGCTTTGTTACACAGTCGTAATTCTGTAGCCAGTAGTCAAAGTGCACAAATGAATATAATTAACAGTCGAATATTTGCTGAAGCATATGCTGCAGCCGCAAGAGCAGCAGCTTCCGTAGTCAGTGGTAGTACTGATATATATTCTCCGAGTACACAGATGACAAATGATCTAGGTTCACAGACCAATGAAGAACGCCATAAATCACAGAATTCACTTACTACCTACCCAACGAATACAGAAATGAATAGTGACTTAATGACTACATCAAAGGAGACAAATATGAGCGGCGAAGGTTGGAAGAAGCATAACAATAGCATCACTGGGAGTATGTGTTTAAAGAATCGGGATAAACGTAAGGGTAAGTACTTCCATCTTGCAAAATAATACTTAGTTTTCCTCAACTAAAACTGTTTTTCATCACCTGAAATAGAATTAAGTATTTTGGTGGGGTTGTGTTCTTTGAGCTGGATTATTTAATCGTGAAGCTTTGGTTGTCCTTCTACACAAGATCACCAGCACAAACTTCAGAAGGAAGTGAGCAATAAGGTTCTCTCTGCAATTTGTTTAGTAGCTTGTTCTGATGGTAACCAGTCGCACACAGAACCATCAGAACAAGCTACTAAACAAATTGCAGAGAGAACCTTATTGCTCACTTCCTTCTGAAGTTTGTGCTGATGATCTTGTGTAGAAGGTCAACGAAAGCTCCATGACTAAGCAATCCAGTTCAGAGCATACAACTCGATCAAAACTATCCTCCTGAGTTAAATATATTCTCCATAATCTCGGAATTAAGTAACTTTGCTCTGATATTTGAAGCATTCATGTACTGTGATACCGTATTATTTTAATTATAAGATGGCAAGCGAAAACAAGAACCAAAGGAAGTACTCTCAAGACTAGTGGTCCATGATGTGCATTACATAACGAGGTGTAACCCGTGTATGATCTTCATCATGGTTACTTTTGTGAAACAAAACAGTCAGACTATAGATTCGGATTTTATCAATACGTAAAATATGATATATATCATTGACAGACTTGAGTAGTTGAAAACTGACTTGAAAAATCGATGACGCTCCCATACCAAAACAAACCTGAATCAATGGACTCAAACTGGTATTCCGTCAACCGATGATATCTTAACTTGTTTATTGAATCTATCGAAATGTGAAACAGTATCATATACAGAATGGAAATTTAGAAACTAGTATATCCATTGGAAACCTCAGTCAACTAGCCACTAAGACTTCAAATGATTTGACCAAATATCAGCTACAGTAGGCTACGCTAAGTGTTTAAGTAACAGAGCAAAACAGCCTGCTAGAAGAAGGGAAAATCCAAGACATGAAATCGGACATTAGAAATAGCTTATGTTTCAATAATAAACCACCTGGACTTATCAATAAATTCAAAAAAAATTGTAAGAAAAATACGAATAGCAGTTGTAACACAGGTTCTAATAATAATAATAATAATAATAATAATAATAATAATAATAATAATAGTGACACTGTAATGATAGAATTCAAAACTTCTACAGTATTATCATAAAGCGAAGTCACCTAAAATACACTACGCAGGATTCCCAACAAGGATGGGATTACAGTAGCATTTAAACCTATAAACTCACTTAGGAACAAGCTTTGTAGAGTAAGAGATCCTATTGATCCAATCAGGCAGAATAATTTATTTAACCAAATCACTTACAAAAATTGCTATGTGAAACACGTAGATCAAATTAGTCGATTGGGTCAGTTGCTCTGTCCAAGCCGAAAATCTCAGCTAAGTCCAGATTGATAGATCTTAATAAGATGTTTTTTTAAAGCTATATACAAAGTTCGACTACAGCCTTCCATACGATCACATGATAGGATAGAACAGAGAGATAACACTGAAAACTAACTTACTTGGATGGAGGGAGAGACTGGTCTCCGAATCTTTTTTCATCGAATTAATACCAAATACATGCAGTCGGAATGATTCAATCCCTATTCCAGAAATAAGAAAAATTCTACTACCCTTATCGCAAATTACGAAAGAGGATTAGAACTATCTAAACAGTGACTCAGAATTAGTATAATAGTTTTAATATGATACCGTCGGTGCTTGGACCGAATTGATCTGTCTCTATTGGCATATGGGCTCCTGTGCGGGTACCTTGGTTTTGCCTGTGTTCTAATTATATTAATGATGGATCGTGGCTAGCACTGAAATCCAGGATGCGCATTTCGTCGTTGCATAACGTCCTAGCGTTTGAAGCGATCGCTACCGAGTCCGAATCCAGGTGGGAACAACATCACTCACTGGGAAGCAGGTACATCCACCTGACGAGTCCCAAATAGGACGAAATGCTCATCCTGGGTTCCATTGCTAGCCACGATCCATCATTAATGACTCAGAATGGTTGAGTTACCTGATATGAACATGGTCAATAAAATTATCTGCCGTGGTTCAGCAGACTTGTATTGAATCACGGTTATCTCAGATAATCAAAGTGATCATAAGCATGATGCTCCCCTGTCTAATTCAGCTCCATTTTGATTGGAATGTGAAGTCGTCACTGGGCAATCAGTGCAAATACGACCAAATGATAGTAAAACATCATGAATTCACATGATAGTCAGGTAAAACCCTTGGTGATTAAAGTGAAATTAAGCTCTGGCCTGTAGTCGGGTCTCATAGCTCATCTGGTAGAGTACAGATGTCGGTAACTCACGGGTCACTGGTTTGATTCCTGCCACAGCCTAGATTTTCATTTCACCTTCAATCATCACCAAGTATCAGTAAAATTATGTCAAAAATGTTATCCAGTAAATAATACTCTTTCACTATGTGAAACTAAAATGGGATTGTAATACATCATAGTATCAAAGTTTTACCACTATATTCTACCAGGTGAATTACAAACCCAGAATGGCAATCTATTTATCAAATTACCTAGGCTACTTACTGATTTCATAATTATACAAAGCCTATGCATCTATTAGTTACCCTCAATATAAAGTCTAGTTATAGAATAATTACTGCAGTCCTATGAGATAACATTACCGAACAAACTGATCTTCCAGAATATTCTATATCTCTTAAAAGATTACCCAGTGCAACTTTAAGCTGAATTTTCAGATGAGGCCTATCGACTGACTGTAATGATATACCTATAAGTGACTATTGACCATATATCTCAACTCCTAAATCTGACTAATTCCTAACTATAAGTAAATCGGTCACTACTTTTGTACTCTTAATGAAGTAGAACAATTAAGTACAAAAAATTGACCTGAAATTAATATGAATGGCTTTTAGTTTCCTTATGGAAAATAATTAAACAAGACTTGGAAAGTCATCACATAGAAATGAGTTATCTGATAAATATGTCCTGACTAACAATAAACTGGATGGTTTGGAAAAAACTTGAGCACTGAGTTAATATGAATCATTATATACTATGAATTATATGTTATACTGCATTTCTGATCGTAATATGAGTTAAAGTAAAAATTTACTCTCCTGTATTGCATCACGAAAGGTGATGAAAAACTACGTATACTTACTACACACATGGTTACTGCAACACTTTGCCTATACTAAAAATTAGCGATGAGCGTAAAAATGTCTTCCTATTGTTCATGGATTGTTTTGCTTCATCTTAAACTCGTTACTTCATTTGCCAAAAAACCCCAAAAATACGAATTACCTTATAGTATTTGTGAAAAATAATCTCTGCCAATCTTTTTTCAATCGCTATCCCTAAGTTCTTAATACACCTTGATACACTATACTAGCTGTAAAACAGTTGTAGGCAGTCAGTAGGATTTCTTGCCTGATAAATATACTCTGAAAAGAGACTGAAAGATCCATACCACCATTACTCTTACCTAACATTTTCTTCTGGTCCTAGTGAACTGCAAATAGCATTGGTGTAAAGGTGGCCAAGCTCCTAGTAAAATCAGAACTACGTCATCCTATGTTGATCTATGTCACTACACTGCCCTAATCCTCGTCACTTATTTGAAGCCTCATACCATCTGTTTCATGTTCGTCTTCCTTTGAATCACATAGCTGGTTTGTTTAAAGACCTATTCTTAGTCGAAATATTCGTGTTACTTTTCTCGATTACATCAAAAAAGTAGAACAAAATGGATTTTGAATTATGACACAACTGAAGTTATAACTAGTTGGTAGAAAAAGGAAAAAAATTATTTTATTCCATCACACCTTCTTCTAACACTAGAAAATCCAAGATATCAGTCAATTAAAAATTCCAGTGAGCATCCTCACAACAGCTGTTTTTATTATAATTTAGAAATACCAATACCATAGGTGCATGTGTTATAGACATGTTTCCTATAGAAATTTTATAAAACCTCCGTCATTAATTTCGATTACTGTAGTCAAGGTTATTTTAAAAATGATTTCCTCTGTTTATTTCTTTTCCGTTTATCAACTTGTACTTAGCTCTTGAAATCAATAAATTTAAAAACTCATTACAAGGAGCTAGAAAATCCTCTAGACTTAGTTTATCTGGTCATCAGCCAGAACCTCATGGATCCCACTTATCTGTTCATTTGCCATCAAAGCATCCAACGCATTATTCACAATGGAGTAATGCATCTGGAACTTCTTATTCAAGTCTAGTAAGTCCAAGTCAAACAGATTTACAAGTTGCAGCACAGGTTGCTGCAGCTGCAGCAGTTGCCTCTGTTGTGGAAAATATGAATTTTGGGTTAGCTATGAATCATGCTTCATCTCTTAATAATGTCGGTGGCTATTGTCTTATGCCCAGACCATCATCACGAGCTGCATCAGTAACAGGTCCACCAAGTAGAGGTATCAGCAGACCAGGAACGGGAAGTGAAGATGAAGAAAGCATGAAATTCGCAATATTTACACCACGAAACACTTCAACTGGACAAGTAAGTTTTTATGTTCTAATATAGACGTAAATTCCTTTTCCTTCAAAATCAAATGTTCTTTATAATCAGTATCATTACTCATAGAACAGATTATATATCGAAGAAAACTCTTGTAAGATAACGACCACTTCATCCATAACCAGACAGAAGGACCTTATGAAATCAACGTAGAATCTCGCACACAAGTGCATCATTTGAAGTTGCCATACTTCACAGTAGCATACAAAGAACAAGTGGATAGGAAAAAAAAAGTGATATCAAAGTAGACGAAGTTGTATGAGAGCATAAACAATCTGAAGATAACGGTTAGTGCAAATACTCTAGCTAAAGAAGATGTCTGTGCCACTGTGACCGATTTTCAACTATACCACCAAGATTTCTCGACCACTGATTCCTATCATTTCTGTGACCCAAGCTAGGTAGTTTACATCTCCCCACACGGCTCAGACCGAAGTAAAAGTCTCCGAATAAGCTATTTCTCCTAGTCAAACTAATGGACTTTTTAAGTACTAGACCTTAGTCATTTAGACTAGATGAAGTCCATCAGTTTATATTTATTAGCTGAATAAGTAGGGAAATAAAGGAATGGTGACTAGACTGAGTTGGTCTAAACCAAAGTCGATGAAGAAAAAATTGGTAACAAACTGTTATTCATCAGAGTAGAAAATGAAACACAGAATATATTCTAATAAATAATGATATAGAAATTTACAATTTGGTTTATAAGTCAATTGACTGGACACTAAAGCACATTTAATTCGATAACTAGTGTACTCATGAATGAACTTCCTCACCGGTGAGTACTACGAAAAATGAAGAATTCTTACAGGCACTTCTTCGAATTTTCTTTGAATATCCACACCCTATAAATTTAAGTTAATTTAAGCCTTTAGTAACGACTTAATATCGAGGGATCCGCATAGGAGCCCATATGCCAATAGAGACCGATCAATTCAGTCCATTCGACGACGAGATAATACAAGCAACAACATTAGAACTATACCCGTCATACAAGAAGTGTCTGTCGTGACTCGGTGGTCTAGTTAATAACGCTCTGGTGTTTGAAGCAATAGGTCCTGAATTCAAGTCTTAGTGTGGACAATATCACTCACTGGAAGACAGGTATATCCAGATGACGAGTTCCAAATAGGAAGAAACGTGCAACCTGGATTGCACTGCTAACCACTAACTATAATTAATGTACAACAATTTAATACTTTAAAAATGGTGTCATCTAAATAACAAGTTGATAAATTTGACTTCTCTTCATTCATTATGGCCAACCCAAAAATGACAGTCTAAACTTATATGATTCACAAAGATAAGATTTCCATCCAACAGTATGTATGCACGACCCCGTGGAGGATCAAATTACAGAACCATCAAATCTCATAGTGAGCATTTTACCTTGCCGCCGATCGGTTAGAATCTAATAGTCTAGGTCCAGAACCCCCATGTTCTACGGCCAGCACATTACCATTGAGCCGCTTGGTCGGAATCCAATGGTCCACATTTCTTACTTCTCTTAGTTCACAACAGCGCGACCTCCATCCTATGCCGTCGTTGAGTAACTGTCCTCACGTCCGACTTAGTCGGCTCTACTGGTCATGACTGAAGACTTTTGTGGATAGTTGTGCCTTACCATGAACTGACAGAAGTAAGAGAATGTAGACCGCTGCATTCCGATTCAGTGGCTTAATTGCAACGTGCTAACCGGGGAACCTGAAGGTCCTGGGCTTCATACCTGACGATATCATGGGTAAGCACTCCTGAGGAGTCCCAAACAAAAACGAACCACCTGTACAGTCCTCCCAGGTTCCAAATGGTTCTCCAACATATTTCAGTCCATGATGAATACCAACATGCAACCAATCAATAAATTCCCATAAACCAAACTGATTTACTGTCTGATTGTAAACGATTGAAAAGAAAGCAATGAAATGAAAAATATTTTTTTGAAAATTGTTGTTATCCCACAATTTATACATAACTAGTTATTCTTTTGGGTCAACTGAAACTGAAGATGAGCAATTAGCTTATTAAATGAATGGATGATGATGAATACTGATCCCTTAAGGTTAAGTGTTGCATTTACTGTAACCTAATGTATAAGTTTCTATTTGTTGTACCAAAATTAAGTACGATAACTGACGTCAAATGTTTAGAAAACAACCTTATATTTTGGTTGACGATTGAAAGTGAAATGGAAATGTGGACCTCGGCTGGATTCGAACCAGCAACCACCGGGTTTCCTGCCCGGTACTATACCAAATTAGCTACGAAGTTAGGCTGAGGTATTAAATTTTCCTTTCACCCTCAACCATCAACACGTATCAATACTAGTCTATCAAACCACGTCCATCTCATATACTCAAAGTGATAATCAATATGATGCTACCCTCTGTGATTCAGTTAAATTTGGGTTGGGATGAGAAGTCCTGACTAGGTGGCCAGTGTGAGCACGATGAAGTGATAGTAACGCATCACGAATTCACATGGCAGTCGGGTAAAACCCTTGGTGATTGAAGTAAAATAAAAATCTGTTCAGCAATTGGATCTTGTGGCTCACTTGGTACAGCATCGGGTTGGAAACTCAGTGGTCGCTGGTTCGTATTCGGCCATGGTTCAAATATTCATTTCACCTTCAATCATCACCTAGTATCAATGCCAGTCTGCTAAGCCACAGCTATCTCAGATAATCAAAATAATAACCTTATATTCGTAAATTCCATTTTCCATACGATTTTGATCAAATCTTCACATGGTGTTTATAAACCTACTTCTCAATAGACTAAATGATCACTGGTCATCAAATGCTTTTATATTTAGCTTCTCAATGCTTGCCGGAATTCCATGTGAAAAAAAGTTACATTCATAAAGTTCCTTAAACTAAGAAGAAGGTGAATTAAGACCTCAGAATTCGAATAATTTTTATGAAAGGTGCTTATACATCTACTAAATGAATAAAGAAAGATGTAAAGGTGAAGTTCCATTGCTTTTTCTTGTTTCTGCTAAACATTTGATACTCCTTACACAAACCACTACAAATCAGTATGTGTTAAGTAGTAAATTACTAAAAACCCTGTATAGTACCGAATATTTCCCTCTCAGTCAAGTGAATGTAACTTTTTCATCATACATACTGTTTCACTCGATAGGCTAGACATACTTCAAAGAGATCGGTGATATCTCTCAATCCCCTAGGCTGAATTGAATAAAAATCATAATCTCACGATTGGTTACGAAATACCTAAACCAGAGGGATTAATAGTGTACCAGAAGAATGAAGTAAATTTTACTGAGTCCTCAAGTATTTTCAGCTTTTGAAAAGAAGATAGGAGTAAAACGAGGCTGTCTACTGTCACCGATAATCTTCCTGTTTGTGGTCGACTGGATCATACAAAAAACAGTGAGGAGCGAGAAGAAGGGGATATGCTGGACTGGGGAAAAAACCTAGCAGATTTGGATTTCGCCGTTGACTTATGTCTAATGTCACACAAACTTGAAGATCTACAGGCGAAAACTGACAAGTTGACAGAAGAGACAGGGCAGAGAAGAACGGACTTCAAGTGAACGTAGAGAAGACAGAGGTGATGAAAATACTCAACCAATGTCACCACCACCAACAACAAGCACCAGTCACCATCAACGGGAGAAACTTGGGGGAAGTAGACTCCTTCACCTGTCTAGGAAGCACTGTTCCAACTACAGGTCGTGGTGGCACAGACGACGATGTCAAAGCCAGTCAGGATCGAAAAGACAGTAACACATGCCTTCATCAACCTGAAACCAGTGTCGAGATCTTCTGCACTGCACTGCACTGCACTCAGCCAGCACAAAGCGTGAACAACATCCAGATTCTCAAGTCAAGTCAGTGCTTCTGTGTGATGGTTGAGAGAGTTGGCGCGTTACGAAAGAGATTTGCAAGAAACTACAGACATTCATCAACAACTGCCACCTACGCTGACTCGATACTGACACTGAAGCTGAGATGGCGAGAATAATAAGAATAAGCAAGGAGGAGATGTGTCTGTCTGTCTAGCTGGCTGGCTGGCTGGCTGGCTGGCTGGCTGGCTGGCTGGCTGGCTGGCTGGCTGGCTGGCTGGCTGGCTGGCTGGCTGGCTGGCTGGCTGGCTGGCTGGCTGGCTGGCTGGCTGGCTGGCTGGCTGGCTGGCTGGCTGGCTGGCTGGCTGGCTGGCTGGCTGGCTGGCTGGTGACGAAGCAACCAAGAAGCTATCGCTGAATAAATATGCAGAAGGAAGTGTAGGTGGATTGGATTGGGCATTCACTGAGAAGACCATTCGGGACATCACACGTCAGGCCAGGTCGTCGAGTGGAACCTGTATGGAAAATGACGAGTTGGGTGTTTGAGTTGAGGGTGACATGGAGGAGATGGTGTGTGGAAGAAATGAGAGGTTGTGGGGAGTGGTGGAGTCAGGTTGAAAATGTTGCAGAGAAGAGAGTGTAATGGAGACGTGCTACTGAAGTGGTTTCTTTCACTAGGAACCCAAGGGACAAATAATAATAATAATTCAAAGCATTTTAAAGTATAGTGAATAAACACTAGCAAGTATAATGTTTTACAGTCCTAAGTAATGAGAGAATTCTGTTACTTCAGCTGTAACATGCCCACGAAGCTAAGTAATTCAAGCATATGTTTCGGTGTACTTGATATTAGGTGGATAGACGTGATTAGCAGCAGGAAGCTAATCATATCTGACCATCTGGTATTTTAAAGTTTTATTATAGCTATTGAAATATAAAGTACGGTTTTCTTTATTTGATGAATTAAAATGAAAATTGTTTGTTTTAGGCTACACCAACTGCCAGCGTTGATACCAATATACAAATATCAACGCCTAGTCCTACGTCACAACAACAACAGTTTTCCAACGATCCTGATAATTCTAAGAGTCAATCAAACTTAAATAATCAACAGATGAACCCAAACATAACTTCTCAATATGTTGGTATGCCAATGACAAGATCAGATGATCGAAATCATCAAAGTTGTCAAACAAATCGTTTAACTGAATCACAGAATATCGGAAATTCATATATGTACTCCCAACAGCAGCCATATTGTTCACCTAGTCAACAACAACAACAACAACTATATGCTGTTCATGGAGTACGTGGACCGTATTCAACATTTATTAATTCAATGAATATAGCACCAACAATAGCTTCATCATCTCCCTCACCTAATATCAATGCCAATGAACAGAATGCATCCTTAATGGCATATTATCGCATACTAGCACAAAATCAAATCCTTAACAGACATAAATTGCAGCAATTTCATCAATATCAATTATTACAACAGCAAAGACAACAACAACATATTCATCAGAATAAAAATGATCAATTAAAACATACATTCAACATGAATAAGTTGCAACAACAAGTGAATACCCCCAAAAATTCAACACCGGATTCAAAGGATAAGAAACATTATCTTGAACATTCACTTCATCCAAATCAACAGATAGAATTCAAAAGTAGTCAAGAATCTAACCAATTTAACAAAACAAATCAATTTACTAATAAACACTTTGACGAAACAAATAACAATAAATCTATCTTAGTGATACCAAATAATCATTATAGTCAAAAAGATATGAACAAAGATCAACAAAATTCATCTTTACAAGAGAATAAACCACATGTTACAGAGTCACAGTCACCTATGACGACTATCAATCAATCAGATAAGTCTGTAGTCACTGAAACTTGTGTTATACATCAAAAGGTAGGTGACATTCTCCTTTAGTTTATTAGCAACATCTTTTAAGATGCACTAGTTGACCATTACTGGTCACTTTGGACTTTGAACTGAATGATAAAACTTAAAAGGACTTCATTCAAAGTTTCACAAAGAGTTTGGTTAATCAACAATGAATCTGATGAACATTTGTTCCAAGAAAATCACTAGTCATAGAAGTGTTTTTCCCAGTCCTGGATATTTTGTGATGGATAAAACAGACGTTCAGGCAAAACATCTGAGTACAGATATCTAATTGAAACCTATTATTTCTACTATAAAAACTCCATGTAATTAGTTTAAACAAATATTAACAAATGATAAAATATGTGACTAAAGTAATAGGTGTCGTTCAAATGTCTCAAGTTATTGGGGATCCTTAAAAAGCATAATACTGCATTATTCTAAGTAGCAAAAGAGGCATATTCCCAGTTTTAATCAGTAGTCTGTGATAAGTATCTTTGGGTATCTATTGTCTCACGACAATAACATGGAACATAACTTACAAGGAATATCTGATTTTTAGTAAGACCTTTTGAGACAACCCTATTCTGGGCAAATTGTTGTTGACATAATACGATTCCTATTGAAGCTGAAGGAAACCCGGACCACCTACTGACTAAGGTACCAGACCCGAATGCTAATCCCTTCTGAATTTCACTGCTCAGTTGATATATCGCACAGTCGGTTACCCTAACAACGCTTTAATGAATGTTACCACAACTTAAGCATTTGGAAAGATTAAGATGTCACCGTGTTGAACATTTAATTGTGAAACGAGTGAATATTTAAACTACATTGAAATATTTTGAACTATGTTGCATAAGATCTATATTCAGCTACACTAAAATGACTAAATTACATCTACGAAAACGGCTTATATCACAAAACAATCAAGAAGTGGATAACTGAAGTCTTTTGAGTGACTAGCAGTGGAATCGAGGATGCGTTTTTCGTCCTATTTGGGACCCGTCAGCTGGATGTACCTGCACCCCAGTGAGTGATGTTGTCCCTACTGAGATGAATCAAGTACTCAACACATCATATGCCAAAGTGTTATCCCCTAGGCCACTGGACAACGAGAGCCACCTCTTGTGTAATGGACATTAGCTGTTGTAATTTCCCGTTGGTATATGGGATCAAATTGCTCGACTTCTACTGGCAGATGGGCTCCTATGCGGATGCCTTGATACTGCCCAAATGATCATTATAAGGCAGCCTGGATAACCTTATTAATTTCATATTAAAATGAAACAACTCAGTGATTAAGAGGGATGATTTCTGATCTTATTGGTTACCAACTCCAAAACAGAGTGTACCCCGCAGAACACCTAGCTTAGCCTTTGCTAGTGTGCAGGTATTAACATCAAAGATGACGACTGAAGATAAACTAAGACCTGCAACTCAAGTTTAACTTCTGACCCAATGTCTTTTAACCTCTTATCCAAAAGAAAGTGACATTCTTCTACTCAAACTAAATACGTACAGTTTAACACGTGGACAACACTTCATCTCATATCAGTTTTTAATCTTTCTGAGGGAAACTATTTCACGTTTACGGGATATTAAGCTGTATAACTCTTTGTTTATTTACTGTTCTTCAGTGTTCCGTTATCAATATGAGTTCTGTAAGCATTTCTTCTTCTGTATACAGACATTTGACTGTCATCTTCACTGTAGATTCTCAAACTTCCTAAACACAGCACATAGAAGATGATAATAATAAAGATCAGTTTTTAGTGTAGTTTTTTATTGTTTAGTCATAAAAGTTTCGTAACTAATATTTCTATGTTCACATTCTTCTATTTAAAACAAAAGTCAATTTTATCCACTTCAGGAAATGAATCAACCGATAAACTTTGAAGGTAAACAAAACCATTTACCCGAAAAAATGCTGAATAATCTTCTAAACAAAGAGTCAAGTGAATCTGTTACATCAAATGAATCACCATCTTTTTTATTAGATGGTAATCGAATTAGTAATCCTACTGATATCAATAATAATGGAGCCTACAGTAATAACAGTGATAATAATACTAATAACCCTCTCTGTGTAACTACTCAATCAGAATCATATTATGATCAACTCACACATCAAAATCGTCAATCAGTAAACGATATACAATATAATGACTACCAAACTAAAGTGAATAGTGATACACATTCACTAGAGTCACATCAAACACAATCTTCTGCTTACTTTCAGAATACACTAACAATGCAAATGTCTAAACAACAACCTCGTCTAGGCATTCATTCACCAGTACGAACAAATCGTTATTTAAATCCTACAGAACAAAGTGCATTCAAACAAATAAATACTAATTCTGATAAGTCAATTTCAACAGAAAATCATTTAAATAATATAGAAATTACATCATCAAATGATAAAGATTATTTATCCAATGAAATTAATATGCAGTCAAGTTCTGTTAGTTAAACGAAATAAATATATAAATTTAAACTATTATATTTACATCTTTCCGATTCAGAGGTTCAATTTTCTATTGATAATGAAATATAAAGTGTACAGAGAAAACAGTTAACTATAAGTGAGAATGAATAATGTTTGTGTAACAAAAAACTACGTTATGCCTAGGTGTCATTCTATCCAAATGACTAAAATTATTGAAATTCTTTTATTTAGGCATTAAAACATTGAATTTATTTTCATAAAATTTAAACAAATTTCCCTCATCTTTATGAATCTTTTAATTTATGCTTTCTTTCCCAAAACTAATTCTGTATATCTGTTAAAATATGCTTTTAAACCTTGTATTTTCTAAAAATAAGCAATGGAAAGCATTACACATGATTAATTATTATCAATAACCAATGTTAAATACTATTGAATAGTAGAAAAAATCCCCTTTTATTGATGATGATGATGATGATGATGATGATGATGATGATGATGATGATGATGATGATGATGATGATGATGATGATGATGATGATGATGATGATGATGATGATGATGATGATGATGATAACAATAAAACAGTAAGAAGCGTTTTATTCTGCTAAAATACAGTTTTTTAACTCTTATAAACTATCATTAGTCGCCAAATACACCAGCGATAAATATTTGCATATAGAACTGTCAACGTTCTCAATTTCCCAGTAATGGAAATAAGATAGCTATCAACTAATCCATAACAATGCGCATTGGATGCTTGCATATGATCCAAATCCTTGTGAACAAGCTTTCTGGGCGGTATACAATAGTCGCCAAAACTAACCAAATAGCCTTGAAACAGCCAATCGAAATCACTTTCATAACGCATTTCAACGATAAGAACATTTTTAATATGTGGAAGGACAAGAAATCTGCTTAATAAGTAAATGTCTAATGTATACTGCAAGTTTTTTAGCTAAAAGTAAGGTAGGGAACAAAAGTAGGTCACAATTAGGTTGTTTTTGTATATGTTCAGAAGTGGTTAGTACTTTCCGGCTACCTACATCGTGGAAGTTGTTTCTGCTAGGTACCCCTTTCTTATAGGGGAGACAGCATCATCATGGTACTGCTAGTCATTCGTGGGAAACGTCTTACTGCTGTCACAACCTGTACGACTTCGCCTTCGAATCCCCTAAACACATACCGTCGCAACTCACACACCAACTGCAGCTGCTTTTTGTCTCACCACTATCTAACTGACCTTTCCAGCAGACCAAGACATCGAGGAACAATCGAACGCATCAATTCTCGTCGATTCATTGTAATATGCATGCTCGACCACCATATCAGGGTGTTAGCTATCAATCGTGAGTTCCTTAGTATGTCAGTAAGGTTCCAGTGGAAACCTTATAGCAACTTCTCCTTATTTGTTCTTTCAGGTGGCTGCCAGAGATTTTATTTCCAGGACTGTTCATTGATCAGATATGTTACTCCAGGCTTTATGGCGAGACATTCAATTGAGTTCATATCCATGCCATCGACTGAGTTAACGAAATCAGAGGTAGTAAGCTGCATAAGATATACCACTGAAATGAAGTTTTACTGCATCAACACCAGCTAATGAAGACACGTTCAATCTCTAATTCTGCCTTGGTCGTAATCTCCCTAAGACAGTTAATTCGTTATAAACCTACAAGCAATTTTTGATGACCTTAATTCGACCTCCGAGCGGTAATCACCCTGTGACTTAAATGATCGTTTTTGTTGACTTTGTATTGACCCATTAGCTATTGAAGGATATACATTTTGATGCAACTATGATTGCAGTGTAGAGCTTTTGAAAATGATTCTTCGGAAAGGAAATTTTCTAGTAATTAAGATTCTTGGCCTCAATCTGAAAAGCTTTCAAGAAAGGATTAAGTCGATTCCCGACGATTTTGACAGTACCTTAAGTCAACCGGAAGTATTTGCCCACTAGGAATTTACTGGTTAATGAATATAAGAAGTCGTAGTTCCACCACAAGAACACAATATACTTCTTCAGAATAAATCACTGTCTATACAGTCCTGAATGAAGGTGTTGAGTTACAAATTGAACCGTATTTTTTTCTACCATCCTCTTATTCAATATCCAAACCAAAGGTCATTTGGTTGGTTGTATACACCATTCTGTATCTCCTCCACTTCCTCATATACAAGTGCTTCGTGTCAAGAATATTCTGAATGAACTAATAAGTAAACAAGTAACTTAGATTTTCGTAATTTTACTTTATTAAACTGTAATTATTGACCATTATCAGCATATACGGTTACCTTGACATTATTATGATTATCATTTTGATTTCGAATGTGTGAATGTGAATTTCGAATGTGTTTCCTCCTATTCGTAATACGAACGTACCTGTGACTCTACGAGTGTGAACTATCGCTTTAAACATAAAAGGTATACTCCCCACGCTATCAAGTAAATACGGAAACCAACACTTTCTAGCATGTAGGTACATTAAACTCAGTCCTGAGTAGAACGAAACACACATCTTAGATTCTTTCAATCAAACAACATACTTCATCAGTATATGAGTAAAACTTGGTCGCCATCCAATTTTAGTTCACTTATTATATGTTTCACACAGTGGAACAGTATTATTTACTGGATTACTTTTCCGATACAATTTATTGTATATTACTTCGATAGTAAATTGTGTTTGAAACGTTATCCAGTAAATAATATTGTTTCACTAAGTGATATATCTAATAAACAAACTAAAATGGAAGTAACAGGTTACCAACTGTTCAGTGATGAATGTTCTCAGTGCCAAAGTTACAATCTGTCTATTAAGATGTGAAAAGTTTTAGTCAGAAAATCTCATTTATTTTAATCCAATTACACTAGTATTTCAAGAGTTTAACAGATGCTTATATGTCTAATTGGTTATTCACAGCTAGTATTCATCAAATGAATAGTATATAAAGTGACAGAGGCGTATAATTTCAAGGAGATAATTGAATACAAAAGTTGAAATAAACTATACATATTCACCCTTAATTAAAAATCATGTTTTGTAACAAACTAAAAGTAAATGAATAAAATGAGAAAAGGGAAAGCAACAGACTGAAATGACTGATGGAATAATATGAAATACGAGAAAGCAATGAGACACTTGGACTGGATACGGGTATCGACTGTTTTCCCTCGGAACCTGATACTTCACTGAACCGAGGAAATCAGAAGACAACGACTAGCCTGTGACACTTTACTTGACAAAAGCATATCATTTATATAGAGTTTTCCTCAGAATAAAAAGCTGTTAGGTCATAAGTTGGATATATATTTTGATTGGTTAGCTGTAAGGCAAAATTGCCCAATAAGGCTTTTCCTGCTCACATATAAAAACAAGGTCAAAATCCCAACATTCTAACTTAGCATCCGATTACTTATAATGTTGATTTCGATTTAGGCAGCTTCCAATCACAGAAAGAATGATATATTCATCGTATGAACACATAAAGAACCTACGTACTTATACTTATAATGAACTTTCGACTTACATCATTCAGTATCCTTAACCTTACATTTCTAACAGTAGGAATGTCAACTACCAATTTATTTTATGGCTCATATTAACAGTTAAACTACTGATCGCCAGTTGAGTTTGCGAAATGTTTTTTTCCAACCATTAACCATATCAAACCGAATTTTCTTCTCATCCTCCATTATTATGTACGCATAACCAGGTTTTACTTCAGTTTAAGTACACTAAAAAAAAGACTGAGCTAATTTCAGAAAACTGAGTAATTCATCCACTCACATCAACAGAAAATTGGATTATATTCTTACGTCGAACTAATAACTCTTGATATTTGGATGCAGTGTTATAAAGTACTCAATATCTATAACCAACCCAATGACTGTTCTCATCTCTTAACATCCGATATTTATCAAAAATAAACTGTGCGAATACAAAAAGGGTCAAGTGACTTTTGCCAACTTACGCCATGATATCCGATTGTCTATTAGGGTCGCGTGTACTGCACAACAGTCCGCTCTGTTCTACTGTATGGCTGTGAAACATGCCCATTGAAGGTGGAAGACATGAGTAGGCTTCAGGTGTTAGACCACCGTTGCCTTCGTAGTATATGTCATATTCCGTGGTGTCACCATGTGAGCAACGCAGAAGTCAGGCGTAGAGTTTTAGGGAAAGTCAGTTGTGAACCTTCATCGACTGAGTATGCCTAGTCACCGTCTGTTTCGTCACAGTGTTGGCCGAAGTAGGTTCAGGTTGGAAAAAGGTCCGATGCGGCCAGACTAAAACATGGCATCAATGTATGAAGTCTCTGACTGTTAGTTTGAGCTATGTGGGGCGAGGAAGACTGGGTGGTTTGAGTCCATGGGACAACGGAAAACAGTGGTTGGAGACTCAAAGTGATATGGCTGAGAACCGATGTCAGTGACGCAGATGTATACACAAATTATCCTCATTTTAACGCTATACCATATCTCACCACTTTCTCTCTTTTAGTACTTTCTCTTGGCTGAATTTTCTTATCTTCATCTTCTACTTCACTGCCTTTTTACTTGATGTGCTGATATGAGTTGTGGCAACTCGGACCGTAACGCAGTAATGCCTGGTAAATTGTTGATTTGAATGGATGGGAAAAAAAGTTGATAGGTTTATAAATGTCAGCTACTGTCAAATTTGATTGTATTTACAAAGTACTCAAAGTACTAACTTCCCATTATGAACGATCTGGTATGAAGCATCAACCCAAATTCATGTGACTGTGAAGTAATTTCACTATGCATAGGTGTCCGTAACTGACAATCGTATATGAATTTAGAACCAGCCAAGTGGGATAAATGCAAACAAGTGTGAACAAAGTGCTAAGATTCAAATAGGTTTATTGACATACTGGTGCACGGAGAAAATGTAATATTGCTGCGTTTAGAACTAACCGCAGTCCAACTAACGCTCAAGTCAGACGCAGTGCCAATACACTTGCAGTCTTTAAGAGCAATAACATAACCTTCACTCGAAGCCTAGTTACTATGTCGCTAAACAGTAACCAATTTCATGTTGTCTAGACGTGAATGCCGATAGAATTGTAGTAATCACTGTACAATGAGGGCAACAAACTAGAAAACTTACCTTTACGACACCCTTTGGTTGACGTTAAATGGCTGGAAGACCGAGATTTCAGTTTCATGCTTGTTAGCAAGGCATACCTATAGCCATGAAGAAACTGATCTTCCCTAGATGATTTCAGCAATATGCAGCAACAAACTATTTTTCTTCTCAACCTTTTCTTTGTTTATAACTCACTGCATATGCACTGAAAACATTATTCAGTAGGTCGTCGTCACCTTTATCCTCGAATATACCAAAAATGTTAAAAATTAACCGTGCAACTCTCAAAGGCAAATAATTAATTGCAGATGGAAAACAATAAGAAACTCAGCACTATCATAACTTTTCTCGTCACAACCTTTCTTGAACTCCGGTATCCAGTCATCAAAACGCCTCAAAAGCGAGAGTGAAACCAGAAAAGTGGGACTTCGCATAATCACTTAAGAGTTACTGATTATTTTGAATGAACTTGCCAAGATGTGTCACGTGTGATACTCCGAACTTAAGGGTCAATATTACATAACAGGCATATAAGATACACTAAGCATCTTGGGTTATAACTACAACGTGATACATGGATAGCACACATATACACCACTCAAGTGCATAGAAATCGAGAAAATGTAGAAGTACGTACTACCACTAGGTCGTTAATATGCGACAAGCCTATGACTGTTTCATACGACCAAAACAACATAAATGATACTTTTTTACTGAATTATTTGACTGAACCCCAACACCTAATGTCAACCAATAAAATGATTCAATGCCACAGATCAGACTATTTCACTGTTGACTGTTTCCCACTACTGAATCCATTGAAGCACACTGCAAAACCAATACTACTCATTGAAAGGAAACTAGTAAAGATATCAACTCTACAGTACATGTACTGTACATTTGACTAACCACCACTTAACCTACTAAAATATATGATTACCTAGACCTTCAAGATAACCATAAAATCGATTCATTATTCTTCATCGAAAAAACCAAAAGACTGTAAACCGAACACACTGACTTTATCACTCCTCAATATATATGAAGCATACACTAATAAAAGCTTAAGAGAAACATCATAAAAGTATAGACAATTTATGTTAAGTAAAATATAGGCACAAGAAAGTGTTGTAAGAGTCTTACCCTGTTTTTACAGCAAAAAAGTAGGTAGTATCATTGCGTGATAGTTAAATAAAAAGCAGATGTTATAAACATAGTCGAATAATAAAAATAACTCATACACATCACATTTTTAGATAAAGAAAAAGCATCATCAAAGTACATTTTCACCACAATTAGAATGTAACTTATAGTTAGTGAATATAACAAAAAGTAATTCAGTGATACAAATTCAAAGGCATGAATAATGAGTATTTCAAGTTAAATTAAATAACTAAGTCCCTTAAGTAAGAGACATGGATAATAAAAAGGTTGTCAGTTGTAAACTGCAAAACACACAAAGCTGAATATACAGTAAGTAAACCAAAGTACACAAATCTGCAGAAAGCTTAAATGAAACAAACAACAGAATAACGACACTCGAAGAATTAAGATGAATCAACGGAAATCGACTGTGCTACTCCCGTTTTTTGACTGGCATACCTCGTGCATTATTGCATGATACTGCTCGTGTAGAACCTGAACCATTCACACCACTATTGCGATTTGACAACGGTTTTCGTAGATGATTATTGGTGAAATGGTTATTCGCATCAGATGTCGGCTTGAGTATATTGGTGGTTTCTGTAGACATTCGAGTACACTGGTTCTCCTTCTGAGAAACAATCGAAACAGAATTGTCCTGCATACTTGATCTAAATGTATTTTGCCGGCGACTCCCAGAGTTCCACACTACCATACTACCTTTTTGCCCACGACGTGGACCATTAGAATATGAACGTAAAGCAGTAACATCTGACTTGTTTGGTTTGTTTTGATCCCCACTTTGATGTTTCGGTGGGTTTATGTAATTCTCATTTAAAACTTGATCATGAAGAGATAACTGATTCACAATGCCATATCCCTCATCTTCTTCAATAGCAAAAGTGACCAATGATCGGTAATCAATGTAACTATAAGTGAATGGATAGTAAGGTATTGCTGAGCCGTTCAGCCAAGACTGTCTTTTAGGATAAATTAATAGTGGGACAGCCATATACAATCCACTATTGCAAGCACTAACAAGAATGTCTAAGAATCCATGGGAAGAGTATGGTTGTGAATATGGTTCGCTAAATGCCACTGAGGCTCGGCAACATGTCTCCTTGCGAACAGCAAATGCATGGACACGACCACTATTAAAGAATGTTCGAAGCAAATGTACGTCAGGAATATCCGAATATACAGGGAACGCATGAGCCCAGCTAACGTGTATAGCCTGAAATGGGACCCGCATGTATTTGGCTCTAAAGTGAATGAAACAAACACATCACGTGAAAAACTATAAGACATCAAATGAATGCCAGGGAAATGGACAGAACTAACATCAAACTAAGCCTAGAGTCACGCGATACAATACAATGATAGAAAAAATAAATGAATTATCAAGGTTATTGAAACTATCCTAGTGAGTCTTTGTTTGGCCAAGTGATTTTGTTATGATAAGATGATGTTCAGATTACAAAGGAAATTGGGTTGCAGAAGAATTTAACAAGTCTTAAGGACTTTCTACACTACTGCAGCCAATCGATTTGTTTGGTCATCTATTTTCAACAACTTAAGAATTCAAGAAATGTGAATAAAACTACCAAGTCTCATACCGATCGTTAGTGACCTCACAGATTTATCGCACACTTGGTTTCGTTCACCTTTTGTTTTCATTTTTATATCAATCGTACCACTATGCATCAGAGTGAGTAGTAGTTACATGAGCGCAAAGTGCCTGTTACTAATGAAATAAATAACTGTATTACCATCTTTTTTATCTGTGCTGTTATTCGGATAGGTGACTGACAAATGCAGTTAAGGACAACGTTCTACTTTGTTACGCGTGTTCCAACTACCTTAGTCGATGAACAGGGACAATTTCAAGTGCCTCAACACCTTAATAAATATTCAACACAACACTGCCGATACTAGTTTTATCATTTAACAGTAATGATCAGATCAAGTGACAAAATGTGCACAAATTAAACGACTCCGTCAACCTTTTCAACCATATAATAAGACATATCGTCGTTGGACAATACGCTGCATTTACAATCAACAGTCGCGTATTCTTTTTAGTGTTGTTAGTGGCGAAAGTATGTCAGTTATTTGAGCTTTTCAAATTTGAAGCATGCATTCATCCTCCACTTACTATATGTATCCAAGCAAATCATGATATAAACTGAAATGATTAACAACTTCGCTTCGTTTTCTAACTAGACATAAATATTGAGAAGTTTCTAGGTGACAATACGCATGTGAGAGATGGGAAATGTATCAATAACTCATTCCATTAGCACAACTGTGTCATTTTTGTTCGACCGAAGACAATTGAAACACCCCTGATAAGATTATTTGTGGCCATAAAACAGAAAGGAAATTGATTAAGTTCATAGAAATTGTTGCTGACAATACAATTTTAGTCGAGTTAAACTGGATTAACTATTAGAACCAAAGTGAATATGTTTCAAAAACAATCTAATACATGATCCAATCTAGTTAGTGATCTTAGTACACCACCTCTAATCAATTACAGCTAATGCCATAGCCTTCAGTAAATTTAGATTTTTTTTGCCGAATTTCGACAAGTAGCCAGATATTCCATAACCGGCTGAAGCAGATTACTGTGCAACACTTCAACCGGTTCTAAATGGCTGCCGAAAAAAGATATGTTTTGGGGTTTTAATCACAGATGTGTTCGCAATATCGCTCATATGTTATGTGATCATCATATGAGCAATGCAGAGGTTAGGCATATTATACGAGAAGGCAAGTTAGTCAATGATGTCATTAACTTTTAACAACTAGAATGGCTTGGACACATGTAGGACATGTCGATCCACCGCCTATTCCGACGTACTATGTTAACCGAAGTAGGACTGGATTGGAAGGCTACAGACGATTAGACTAATGCCGTACCAACCTATAAAATCTGCAACTGCTGGTACGAGTCAGGTAGGAAAATGTACTCTCTGGCTTCAACCTGTAAGACGTTAAAGATTAATTTTTGCACACTTAGGGATATGACTAAAATCTATTCCAAGGGCACCAATATATAAGACTTACCATCTTCGAAGCCTGTGAGGTATGAAAACTTGAGCCGACGCACTTCCGCGCTAGTTTTTTAGTTGATTCGTCTGTTTTACTGATAAACGAACGTGAATTAAACTACTTAACCATCTTGCTCATTTTGATAACCGTCTCTCTTGATGCAGTTTTGGCTTTAGGGCTTGTATACGCAGAGAGTCTAAACGATATTCGACCATTAAATAATGTTTGCATCAATTCCTAGAATCCAGCTTCGTTCATTTACCAACAACTAGCTTTCGCCCATTTTTCATATAACTACATCAGATACATCACTTTTTTTTACATCGGAGACACCAATAACAGAAATATGCTGGTTTTGACATGTTCACACTTCCAAGAAGCTGTTAAGTGAGAACAAGAAATCTACTTCCAAAACGTCGAACTTTGAATATCATCGGTAATATTGCGAATCCGCGCATCAGCTAACTTGTATACGCATGCAAAATCCTTAAACTGTAAAGGTTGAGTAGCTTGTTTAATCTCACAGACCTTTAGTTGTTTACTACAATTAGTCACGCTAACTGGATAACGTAAACAAGTTGAACCGATTTTTGGCACCGACTGAGTGCTACTTTCTGTCTAATGCATTCTTCGAAGGCTAACTCATCTACCAAGAGCCTTCTGGTGTGAGCTTCGTCTTCTTCACATATTAAGATAGTTTTACTCCACCTGAAAAAGAGTTCGCACGGATACAATCTGACGAAAATCACACTAAAGATGCGTATCAGGTAGTGTAAACTAAACAGCAATCAGGAGAACATGCTATACTCAGTTTCTAACTCTATCTATTGTTCAAAAATAATCGAATTTCCACCAGCACCCATGTTTTTAGCTATCATTTTAAAAATCGAACGAAGTAGGGGACCAATATGCTGTAAATATATTCCATTTCAAACACATCGTCAATGTCCACTTGACGCCTTCAAACAAGTCTATTGCTTGTAGATGCTGAAGTTAAAAAATACAGACATTTAGCTCTAAGTCGTAATATCCAGTAAGATTGTGAGTCGTAGATGTAAGCTGGTTGGGACATACATAAATTGTGCAGTTCTGACTTCGTCAATGTAGTGCGATAAATAAACAACTTGTATATATTCCCCATAAAATTTTTCGTCACCATCCTAAAGTGAACAAACGAAGCGTTTCAATGAAAGTAGTAGCTTCAAGCTTTATTCTCCTCCAGGTAGTACACCCAGTGTCCAGGTACGAACCCTGGTGTTTTGTTACTGAGAAGACAACACTTCCAATCGTCGAACCTGTAAAATATGCGATGCCTGTACCCTCTAGGGACGCAATATGTAGCAATTGAGATTCCCTGGCGTAAGCATGCATGTAATTTATGCAGTAATTTATTCATACCTGTAAAAACGGTGTGCGCCTGTATATTTAGGAATAAACAGTATTATTGCTATCATTATTATCGAGTATATTCCACTTCAAACACATTGTCAATGTCTTTCTATGCAGTCTGTAAGTACATAAGAAGCTCTTACAACCACTTCTTCCTTTCAAGAAAGTGTACGTAGACCGAGAGGCTCAAACTTCGCCTGAATATCTGGCTATTACTGGATATCAAACGACACCTCTGAAACATTATCAACGAATTGCATCTAATATATTGTGCTGCAAATAGAAGCCCCTATCGTACAATGAGTGTTATGTATCATTGGAATAAGCCAGACCTTCGTGGACAGAAGGAGCTTGTGCAATCTAGTCATTTTATCCTGACCATCCACACAACTCAACCATACTTCCATAAACCAGGTTCAAATGACCTTACAGTTTTCTCGTATGTCTTGTATTTTTCTGACTGAACGGGTGTCAGCCATTGACTGTTTGTCATGGTTGTTTGGTTTGACTATTCGAATTGTCAGTTAAACGACATGCTTTGGTTTTTGCAGTATTTGGTCTAAATACTTCATCTTCATAAACCCTATCCTAATTTCTGTCATCTATTGTCATTCTCGTAATATTCATACTAAACATTTACCAACTTCTGATTAGTTGGATTGTCATTACTAGATCATTTTATATTATATTTCAATATTCAAAGAATATTTTTAATGAGAAAAGAACCAAGGATGAGGGGATCTACTTGAAGATAGTGTCTTACTTAACTCATTGATTTCAAAGGGCTTCAGGTAATACTGTCTTAGTGTTCAATGTTTGTGTTAGGCAGTCGAATAGTGCATCCTATCCTTGGTGATCCACTTTGCACGGAATGGCATTTCTTGAGGAGTGAACACAAAGAGGTAGGCCGACTATTTCCAAACTAAGCCATTAAGTTCTGAATATGTCTAAAATATCTTTGCATAGTCCATATCAATCAGCAAAAAGAGATAACAATGTTTCAGTCTCCTCACCTGTTTCCACGCTTTCTTTCTGTGGCGAACATCCTAACTTATTTACTTTCCCCAGCACTCATTGTCTGTTAATGTCTGGATTGTTACCGTAAGCGTAGGGCTGTTTACCTGGTCGAAAATTACTGGATCTGTAGCCATCTGACTCGGAGCACCAGCTGCATTACTTGTGCATAATAATGGAAGCCGTTGTACAACCAATCGAATATTCTTAAATCATGTTTATGTTTGAGTGTGTATTTTGCGTGATAGCCTATAAAAAGAAGCATCTTTATTTGTTATAAACATTTTCAGGCTTTTCGTTGAGCCATTTTTCGACAATGGTAAGTCCCTGATTCAAGCTGCTAAAGCTAAAGTGTCAATAATATAGGCACAAAAGCTAGGCACCATGGTGGACTAAAATTTCAACGTTTGATACTCAGCAGAGGCGTTGAGTCACAGTGTTACTATATACGAATAGTCACTACACACTACGATGTTAATATATATTCTGACTACATCACCATGAGTCTACAGTTATATCTGATTGTCGTGAGGATTCCAACTCAAAAGTATACATTTTCCAATACAGCAAATAGGAAGATCATGGAATGATGATACTTTTTAATCCGTCTTCCACCAGATTCGTATTCTTTCAATTTTACTCTTCATTCCTTATAAATTTCCGTGAGTTGTGATTGTGTTATTTCCTCCTTAATGACATTTTATCTTGCTGCCTTGAATCTTGATGTGAGGTGTAGCAACTTAAAACGTTATGCAGTATTATAGGGTTCTATGTCGATACTAGCAAACGTTTACTGAAGCCTTCGTCTTTCAGGTAATGAATTTTGGTCTATATGGTTAAAATTCTGCTGCACGTACTACGGCTTGGCCATCGAACTGCAACATACATCATCATTATCAACATAGGACCAGGCATTACTGCGTAAAGGTCCAAGTTGCCACACCTCACGTCAGTTCATCAAGTAGAAAGGTAGTGAGGTGAAGGATGAAGATAAGTGAATGCAGTCAAAAGAAATATAAAGTACGAGAAGAAAGGAAAGAGGAGTGACAAAATGGTGAGATTCGGCATAGCGTTGCAACATACATTTATACACATGACGCTTGATTCATGAGACGGTACAAAAACTGAGTGGAGATACATTTTTTTTACTGGAGTCTGATGTTATGTTTCACTGTAGCTGTTCTAATGCTTCGTCAGCGATCATCAGAGCCAAGTAAATGAACATGACGTGAAACAACAGTTTATTCGTATTACTCTGCACACTGTAAGTGTAATAATAAGAAAGTGACGAGATAAATGGCACAGATGTGACTTATGTCACCAGTAGTTGCATATGAAAATAAGTGAATGAATTTGAACGACGATTAAAACCGAATCTTATGACAGTTTAATCTAAAAAGGTGCGAATGTATCGCATATCTACAACTACTTCTAAACCATATGTCTAGTGGTCGATATCGATTTCTTTTCATGAATCTTAGAAAAGAACGTGATATCTTGACAGACCACTTGGCGATAAAAGCTAGGTGCCGATACATTCCCATTCTTTATCTGTAATGCACAACAACCCAATTTGTCCAGCTATATCCCCTCGAAAGCTTCGTCTGCATAAGAAACAAGTTCCCAGCAATTTTTTTCATCATAGATGATCAAGTAAGACAAACTGACAAAATCAACGTCGCACAGAAGTTCATCGGTTTTAGTTACTACACTTAATAGCAGTATATAAAAAACAAGTGGATAGAAAAAGACTGATACCGAAGTAGATAAAAGTGCATGCGACAAGAAACAATTTGAAGATGAAATTTAGTGAAAATATTCAAGCTAAAGAAAAGATCAAAGAGCGTACACATATGCACCACTGTCCCCGATTTTTAGCCATGTCACCAAGAGTCTTCAACCACCGATTCTCATCTCGGCAACCTCAGCCAGGTGGTCACAACATCACTACACGGCTTAGGCCAACTGCCGAAGACTTCACACACTGTTAAAACGTCTTGATCTGGTCACCCTTAGCTTTCTTCCAGCATTGTATGACACAGGTAGTGGCTCGGCGTGTGCATCACATGCCCAAGCCATCTCAGTTGATAAAGGCCAAGAACCTCATCCACCGACTTTACTTCTTTGAATGGTACCTTTGGCATAACCTCGAAATTTCTAACATCGTGATTTCATCATACACAAGCAATGGTACGAAGACACCTATGGTTACAAACCTGCTATCTCTTCATACCTTCCAGTTTCTCCGATGATTCACAGCCATACAACAGGATAGAACATACTGCAGAGAAGTACATTTGCCTCACCACCCAGCGCCAGATGATGCTGCTTATCAAATGCCAAGCGAGCCTCCTCCGCCTCACTTGGGATTTCGTCAGGTACCAACTCGTTCGAGCTGATGCACCTATCCAGGTAAGTGTAGTGGTCGACACATTCCACCACTTCACTCTCAATAACTAAACTGGGAGTGGTTGCAGACCAGTCTAAAGCATCACCTTACATTTGACAGGTGCGAAACATGTACCAAACACATTTAGATTTCTGCTCAACGCGTTCAGAAGACCCTGCATTTTGTTAGCATTTTCACCCAGCAGGGCATACTCCAAGTCAACCTGATGCCCTCCAGGGAGTCCTCTGAAGTCAGGCGTACGAAAACTTGTTCATTGGTATATGTACAACGAAAGTAAACAAGAACGGTGGCAACAGGCATCCGTGAGACACCACTACTTGCTGCCAATTCAGATAACTCTCTATTAGTCCTTACGCGGCTGTATGAATTCGAGTGGAGAGATTTGATTACTGTTACATGCTTTCTCCATACTCCCTTTAGTCAGACACTGCCATATCTCTCAATCGAGAGTCAAATGCCACCTTTGGGTCAAGAAATTTGGCAATTTTTGACCACTGGTAGGCAAGCCAGTGTTCTGGAACCTGTCGAAATGTGAAGATCTGATCGACGTAACCTCGTCCATGTCTGAAATCTGCCTGATTTCACCCAGTTTGATAACCTCGAGCTTCAGTTGGGCGTCGGGTAACTATGGACCCTAGGATCTTGAACAGGACGATAGATAAACTGGCACCTCATAGTTGCTACAAGACGGATGATCAGTGAAGTAAAACGGTCTTTCGGGGCGATAAAGTAACACCTAAAGCGCGTGACTAACCCATCAGTGTCGAGATTAGAAACAAACGACTGTAAGTTACTTGAAATGTTTTCGGGATTTCTTTAATGGACCTCTTGGTATTGCCGATGATGTAGGCTGATGACCAAAAGCAGAGACCAGGAATGCATTCAAGATTACAGAAGTCGATGAGGTGACTATGATCATCGGTCTATACCTTAATCAAGTTATTTCAACCCTAAAATTTGGTATTATACAGTCTTATGAAATTTCAGACCAAATTATGGTGCATAAAACTATCCCAAGGAGCTTAGTCATAGCGAAAAATGAATAACGGGAGCGGCATAAGTACAGTTCAAAAAACTGCCTAGATCTTCCTAAAGATGGGCACAGATAATATATTCTCTAGTTATAATAAAATAAACCTTACAATTGGATATTTACCTGATTTTCTTTAATTTGTCCAGCTGTACAACACCAAAAGTGCCATGATCAAGTAAATAGTAGAATGCTGTCTTTGGCCAAGTTGGAACAACACTAATTATAAGAGCTCTTGCAAAACCCTGACTATGTGGGACCACAGCCACAGTTCCAGAAGTGACTGGTTCACAAAGTTGTATGCGATAAGCACTAGCAGCAGAATAGTCTTTTTCAAGCTCCTCTTGCATTGTCAGATAGTTGCTGTATTCATCATCCGGTATTGTCACAAAAAACTCTTTAGAACCATACAAACTACGAATCTGTACAGGTACGGGTACACCAAGAGGCAGTTGACGCTGAAGTACTTAATTAGGTCTAAAGAACAACTTACTTTAAGCTGGTTCGGGTTTCCAATTGTCGTTTTCGAAGGTCGCATTTTGAACCGATGTGCAACCCATCGCAGTACATCATTTTTGTGTCTCAGAGGACAGGACAATTTGAAAACCAGCGTGTCTTGTTTTCCAGGACAAGTATTCAAACTGAACTCCGCCTGCCACATATTTCGTAACTCCTTTACATTTCTGCAAGAAAATAACGAGAAACTTAAGACTTACTTTCCGAGTCGTCCAATTAGCACACCACCCATATAAGCTGGAATCAGAAACGTTTCATGCCAAATATCTCCATCGACCACTTCTGCCCACATGTCACTAGGAATTAGGACTCTTGGTAGGATTTTTCCATCCATTTCTTCAGGATTAGCTTCATGAATATCATTTGAAGGGTCGCTAAAGCCTTCTGGTGGGAGAGAAATGCCGCAAAACCCGTCATTTGAGTCAGGGGTCAGGGCTCGTTCGCATTCGGAGCCAGAGTCGTTTTTCAAAGACACTATTGGTTGCATGACTTTTCCTTGCGAAAAGTGAGAGGATGTAAAGTTGCAGAACGCTTTCTGAGTAGCAAGTTCTTCTTCCAGAGGAGAAACACTCTGCAATACCAGAAAAGACTCTTTAAGAGCCAATAAATGCCCGTCAGTGAAATCCAACTAGATACTACAGAACATTCAAATGAAAAATACCTTTAAAGAATTCGCCATAGGTGTGAAGATATAATCACAGCTAACCGTGTCTGTAAAAAGATCCTAATAGTAAGTTACAAAGACGCATAAGCATTACTTGTAAAATATAGGCCTCGCTGGACTTGGTATCACCAGAATTCAACTGCAAAGCACTATAAGAATAACCGGGGCCCTCGGTTAGGCTGCTACTAAAGGCGATCCTCACTCTACGCTTTCTTCGGTAATAATTTAACAAATAAACCAATGTAACAGCAAAGGCAGAGTATATAACTAGCCTACTTGACGTAGGCATGCAGCTACAATAGTGTCGAGAACTGACAAAACATAATGAGCCAAGTAGCAGGAAACTTACCACTAAATCCCTGCTAATGATGCTTACGACGTGAAACACATGCGTCACCTCAAATGACCCGCGTTGTCCCTTGCAACTCAATCCAATTTCCAATATCTTCCTACAAGCTTCTGTAAATCATTTGATTTGTTAGCGCTCGTTTCTAGGCCTTTAGAAAAGGTTTTAGGTATCTGGTGGGCTCCGATGCAGTAGGTCTACCCACTTCCCTGTTGTATCTCTGGTATTCTCAATAGGTTATTGATTGCTTAAGTTTGTAGGCGTTGTATGATTTGCCTGGGGACTGTGGTGCAGATGGGTTCCTCAAACGTCGTGTTAGCAGACCGTCGTTCCAACTGGTTGTATGAAGAGACGAAAGGGTTGAAAAGATACATAGCGAAAAGGAGGAAGAGGGAATGCGAAAAAAAAGGTGAAGAGAAGCCGTAAGAAGGGGAATGAGAAACCTAGGTGGATTCAGAGAAGACGGGAAAGAGAACAGTTACAAGAAGAACCTGAATAAACAGTGTGAAACTGCAAGGTCAGAAGGAAGAGAATAAACAGATGGTACTAGAGGGGGATACTGGGAATAGAAATAATTATCAGTGGAGGTACGGCAGTTGCAGATGGGACGTCTAACAGGGAAGTATAAGATTAAGTCAAGTTCGTAATGTGAGCAACAGCACAAAAGATTCGGTATGAATCTGACTCTGCTGAAACGATACGGAACCAGTCAGTTATACAGGCCTATTCCGTATCCTACCTGGATGAGTGCAAGCCAGGGGTCTCTGTGTAGCAAAGCAGCTGTCCAAACTCTTCTTGAAGCCACTGACAGACAGAGCAGCGGCAATTTTTGTAAGCAGTGAATTCCAGTGGCCGCAAACTTGTGGAGTAAAGAAGTGTGGGTGCACACAGGTTTTCGCCCTATGACATGCGATTCTCCTTGGGTTACCACAAGGATTGTCACAGTGGCCGTAGGGTAAGATTCCGCAGTTCGGGTGACTTGGATTACTTAGTAATTTATGAACCGTTGTCAAGCTGGGAGAGGTTCAATGATTCTTGGAGTCAAAACAGCATGTATTATTTCCATCAAGTAGATATTTTCAGATTGAAACTCAACATCAAATATCCTCATCGAGCTGTTGCTGCAAATTTAAAAAAAAGAAGCAAGAGCAGATATGGCAGAGGAAATTACCGTGCAGTCCAGCTTGGAAAAGATAGAAGTTCCTACACATTTAGGCTTGTTTCAACTTTATTTGCGCTTTCATGCATGTATGTGTGATTAGCTACATAGTTTTTCCACTGCAAGGTTCCTAAAAATCTTCCATATCTGGAGTGTATCGTAGCAGCTTTGAGGGGAAACCAGTGTGCATCAAGTTCATTATGGTGAGGAGGGGGACCGGTACTCACACCCTTGTAAGGAATCGTAAACCCATCAGTGTAAGAGGGACTCGGAGATCACAATAGCTCTGCTTCACAAATTGAGAAGTCCGAGTACGTCCTCATTAGCCCATGACGCATAGATGGTGACCAACTGAGCAATAGACTCATCGTTTATTAGTAGCATACTAAGTGAAGGGCGGAAAAGTGCTAACCAGCTTTCCGTACGGGTTTCTTCTGGAAGCTTATTCCAAATGTGCGGGAATTTATCGAGGAAGAAATCATCTCGCAGGCTCATCGTGCAACACTTAGTTTCAACTAATATTTTATGATTACGCATGTAATACGTAGATGTCATAATTGGCTTGATTTACAGGCCATGAGAGTGCAAGCGCTGATGAAGTAACTCACAATAAAATATGAGGTTCAGCTTAAGTCTTCTCTTTCGGAGTGGTTCCAGCCCGAGCATGTTACACCTGGATGCATAGTCAGGACTGGAGTTAGCTCTTAATGTTCTGAAGGTGAAGTAACGTTGTATCCCTTCAACTTTCAGTTTATCGCTTCCACGAAGGCCAATGTTCCAAAAGCGGGCAAATGCACACTTTTAAAGTAGAACCTGTGATTCAGTGCTATAGAAGTTACGAGTGATGCATCTCAAGAGTTTGTGTGACTTGGATCTGGTAAAAGCCATGTGTTCAGAGAGTGTCAAGCCCTTGGAATATCTGATGCCAAGATCTATCATATAAGAGTGTCTAGGTGGCTGTCTTCCGCATGCCTCGAGGGTCGGGTCATGATAGTCGTTGCCTATGGTGGGTCAACCACATTTGTCATTATTGAATTCAAGGTAGGACTCGGCACACCATGATGCAAGTTCACCTAGTTCCTGTCGGGCAGTATCCACAGTATTGCGCAGTTCGTAAGATCGACAAGTGTACGAAACCTTCAAGTCATTGGCGGATAGGAATGCTTTACCCTCACTAAAGCGTTTACACGCGCTGTTGATACAAATTACGAACAACAAAGGCCCAAGAACACCGCCCTGTGTAACTCCACCAGTTATTTGTTTAGGTTCAGACTGCAGGGAGTTTGCTTTCACGATTCGGGCACGATCACCAAGAAATGATTTCGCCCAACTAAGTTAGGGGTCGCGAATACCAAATGACTGCGACTTATTAGAAAGTAACTTGTGGGACACCCCACCAAATGCGCTTTGATGTATCAAAGCATAGAACAATGACGGTTTTACGTGCCTCACGTCTACTAGTAATGAAGTTGAAGAAATCAGTGTCAAGTAACGCAGGACCTACTCCCCAAGAAACCATGCTGAGACTTTGTGTTTAGGTTTTCTGCTAGGGGGTAGCCAAAGGCGCTATTCTTAAATACCTTTCCCGTAATTCTAGAGAGGACCGGTGTCATTTTCACAGGTCTGTGTTTATTCACGTTCGACTTGCCCCCAGACCCGTAGCAAGGCGTTGGGTAGCTGGTTTTCAATTCAATGGGGTATACACCAATTTCCATTGATGGGGTGAACGTCTCAAGCAAGAACAAAAACATATCGTCACCGCTGTTTCTGACGGCAGTCGAGTTTAGTTTGTCTATTTCCATTCCCGTTGATGGTCGCAAGTTCGTGATAGCCTCTGTGATACTTTTGCCAGTAAAATCCACATGGGCGCGCAAGCCTGTAGTAAGCAGTGTAAAAGTGGTGGGGCTAAGAGTTTTAGGACCGAATTATGCGAAAGATTCCCTAACTAGTTCACAATCTTCTAGGGGATCGTTGCAGACCATCCCGTTGTGTAATAAATAATCCATGTCTCTTGATGCCTGCAAAAGCTTATTCAGATGGGAGGTCAGACTATGTATCCTAGAACCACTCTTGGGGTCATTGAGCTCTTCATACATTGAACCCCGTACACGTGATATCTTAATCGCTTGATAAGTATCGTAGATTGTGCACAACACCAGAAAGTTTTTAAAGGCATGATCTAATACAGACGATTTCCCTAATTTGCTGCGAAGTGTTCGGGAGACGGATCGGTCTTCACTCTTCTTCACCTTAACTGCCCTCGTAGGAGCAGCGATATCTCAACATAGCATTATATTCCTGCAGAAAAATGACAGTGACTATTGCAACGGAAAACTGATCTGAAAATCCCTCCCGATCACCCTTATTTGATTGTATTGATATTTACTTTAACATTTTTACCCTCATTATGGATGGTGTGCCTTTGACCCTAGCCGGCGTAAAGTTGTTTGCTTGTTTAACTGTCTTATTTGACTTTGCACTCGGTATTTGCCCTTGTATGATGGAGACTCATCATGAATGTTTCACTTTCCCATTATGTGACGCTGGACTGTTAACAACGTGACGTTGTTTTGCTGCGTGGTCGACATTTTGTTTTGGTTCAGCTTACGGTTGTGCTGTGACTTGACTGTTTGTCTTTTGACTGTCTACTGGGAACGTTTGTTTGTTGATTTGATTTCTGTAGGCAGAGTTTTGATCCCTATCGTTGGGAATATTCCTATTGACCGACAGGTACTTAACAGTTGTATTTGTTCAACCAGTTTTTACCGTGTAGTACGTATTTGCACCCGAGAACGTTTCGGACTGTATAGCTACCCAACGGCACTGTTGAGGTATTTTTGTAATTTTGACAAAACTTATTGCTGCCTTTATAGGACCACAGATTTTGTTACGAATCTATAATTGAATTTCTACAAACCGTGTTTCGATATTTTGATCCAACCTTTGACCGTGCGTCACTCGCGGAAGTCAGGAAGCTATACAGTAGAAGGCAGGAACTGGTCAGATTCACGTCAGTTGGCGTCGCGTAGTTATTTCAGGCGTTCAGGCCAAGATTATTGGATTCTGGCCGTTACAACTATGTTAATGAGGCTGTTATGAAGTACTCATCTTATGAGCCGCACCTGAGGAGCTCGATGAATACCCCCCCCTTTCTACAATTTTGTAGCTACGGTACGAGATATTTCTCATAGGCTCCCTGTTCCTTTTAAGAAGAGGAAAGATTGGTGGGCAACAGGATACCATTCTGTGGTCACTGCCGGTGAATTCGCCACCAACGTACGTGGGGACTTGAACGATGTCACTGCAGAAGACTATATCCAGCGTACTCTTACCGCATGTGGGTGAATGGACACATTGTTTCCATCCATGTAAATCTAAGACAGATAGTATCTCGTCGTAGCGTCGTGGGACACAACTGGTTTCCCACTTAACTTCAGGGAGGTTAAAGTCTCCTGCAATCGGTTTGAAGCTAACACTGATGGATACAGAGCGGTAAAATGATTGAACACTGGGCTCATCAGTTCCTCCAATGAACATGGTGTTCCTTAAACACAGCCTGCGAGGATTTCATAGTTAGTGCCGTTTATAACAATCCATATTGAATCAGGCAGAGCATTTAATGTACCACCTACAATTTTATTAGCTGTGACAAGGCCACATACATAAATCAAGCCACCTCCTCCACTTTTATGATCTCGGTTAGTGCGATAAGGGGTATAACCATCTATGCGTATGTCTATGCCAAGGACTGAGGTGGGGCACCATGATCAGGTGGCTAATATCGCTGAAGGTTTAGTTATCAAGACTGTCGCTCTCAAGTCAGAAATTTTCTCCTGCAAGGAGTGTGAACTGGTGAGGAGAAGTGTGAAAAGGTTACAATGACTTGCGGAACGTTCCACAATGTCTTGCACGCCTA